CCTGAGGACAAAGTCAGGGAGCAGAACATGTACAAAGATGTGAGTTCATCTTCATGCTTATTTTTTCAGGCTTCAGAAAAAGTATAGTCAAATAACAGGTCTAATCACACAAATACATCAACCTTTCTCTCTTTGTAGCTGTACATAAGGCACAAGGAGTACTTAAATAGCCTCGTGGGACAGGACTTTGAAATGGTAAGACACCTAAGGTCAAAGGATATAGTCACAAATTGTCTTTGTTCTTACAAGATTTTATTCCTGTAGCCTCCTCTAGGTATTCTGCGTTACATGACGAATGGAGAGATAGGTGAGTAGAAATACTGTGCCCATTTTTACAGATACTTTAGGAAACTAACAGACTTCATCATTCAAATGTCCTTTTTTTGTTCTTCTCTCTGCCCAGTCTCAGCTCAAGGCTTTGAATATGATAACTTGTACATCCACTTCTTTATGGAACTGCCCAACAGTGAGTCACATGTGATACTTCCAGTATGCAGATGCACTGTGCACTTTATAATGAATTCATTGCATTTAATTTGCCAATTCAGCCTATATTAATATTATTATTATTATTATTATTATTATTATTTAAGATTGGTCCAGCCGGCCATTCCAGTCTATGTCAGGGGTTACCCAGACCTGTCGGACTAAAACATTAGGGAAGGTGTGTATTGAAAAGAACTATTTGTTCAATATATTGACAGCATGGCTGTTTGATGAGATATGTTAAACTCTGTATGTTCTTTCGGCTAACAGGAAAACGTAGCTTTCTTTAGCTACCCCTTCCACTTCGAGGCTTTCTACATGACCGAAAAAGAGAGTGACCGTTAGTATCAGTAACAGATAATTGTCTTTAGGTGATTCACTGTTTTAAAAGGTTAAACTGACACAAGTTTCTTGTTTCTAATTTCAGACTCAGTCCCACAGTGGCCAGTGCTCTACTTCAAGGTTCTTTCACTGGACTCCTGGCAGCGTTATCGAACTGAAGGCTATGGCTATCTGCTGTTTCCTGCTATGCCTGGTATGCTATGTGTCCTGGAAAACTGATGGATTGAAATTAGGGAAAAAAAAAATATATTGATAATTTCTCATATCCTAAGATTACACATTCAGAATAAACGGAAGTCCCAAACTCAGTTAAGTTAATTTACCCTATATTATAAATAAGCATGCCCTATGTATGTAGCATTTTTGCTTAGAAATGACTAAAATGAATAATCTTTGGTTAAGATGTCCTGTTCATCAACTTTAATCAGCCAAATGTTGGAGCTTAAGTTAACATTTAGAAAATCAATTTTTCCAATTATTAAAATTTTGCATTTTAAAATTTTTATTTCAGATAAAAATGTTTTGATTAGTTATAAAAATCACAACTTTTTATTGTCCTGCATTATATGTTTTGTCTGCATTTATGTGTGTGCACACCAGGTATACACACGATGACATGTCACACATGGAGACCCCTTCAGATGGGGACGGTTTCTGCACTCAGGCGCTTCTTTATTGGAGGTTCTCCAGAGCTTGAGGACCACAGCTACGTCAGAATACCAGGGACATTCAAGGTGGGGTCAAAACTCTGCAGAGGCTATATGGATCTGACAAATGTTTACACATAATTTAAGTGTATGATTTTTCTGTTTTGCTTAAAGAGGATTAGATTGAAAGATTTTTATTTTTTTTATTTGTTTTTATGAATAAAAGATTGCAGAACTTAACAGCTGCTTAAAATGCCACACTGGATTATAAAGAAAATACTTAAACTTTAATTAGGATGTTTGCCTATTCAAATCATATTCTAATTCTTGATTTAATAATTAAATTATTTACATAATACAATTAATAAACCCAGTAGGCTTACTGCATTACTTAATTAAACAGGGAATTACTTATTTGTTAAACTACAATCTGTTAAACATTTAAATGTACCGTACAACAGCTTAACATAAGTTCTGGTTACAGCAATGTGTGCATACATGAGACCTTACAAATGCAGTGGATAAATTTAACTCCTGGTACAATTATGAAGGCATTCTTTAACCTTCTAGTTTTATATACATGTTTTATGTTATGTTAAATATGATCATTTTTGTTTTATTTTATTTTTTAATATGTCCGTATGTCTGTGTGTGGCTGCAGGGGGAGAGGCTCAGTCGCTTTGGCTTCTGCACTGAAACCACAGGAAGTGTCACTTTTAATCTCAACTGTATTCAGCAAGCCAGGTAAGTAAAGCCTGGCTTTAAAAAAGTAGCCATGCATAGAGTGCCTAAAAAATTTATTACACCACCCAATGTAAGGTTTATGCCACAGCTGCCCTAAATGAACAGTATTGGTAATTACCAAGATCTTTTCTAATGTTTTATAATGGTTAACCACCAATTTACGTGAGCTATTTAATTGAAATTGAAATTGAAAATAGTAAAGAACACTATTATTGTTGTTAGTATTATTATTATTATTATTATTATTATTAATGAATGAAATGAAAACACGAATTCCAGTCTAATAAAAAGGAATTTGATTTTTAGTTTTAAACAAGTGTTTGACTGATTTCTAAAGTATTTGTATTCTTGTTTTTATGACAAGTAGTCTAATAAACTTGTTAAGTATTGTACCTAACATTTAATAGAAATACATGTACTACTTATATGGTTGGTATGCTCTACATTATCTGCATTGTTATAGATTATCACATTTCTTCAGTGGCTAGACTTTATTCGTTTCAACACAGCAGCAAATCTACAACTTCACAACTGTCTCCTATTTCACAGTCCCAAAATACACTGTAATTTTTTTTTTATGTTAGTGCAGGTGTTGAAAATATAAACCTCTGTTTGTATGCATTCAGATGATCATCAGTGATAACATGAAATATTTTAATTTCATGTGCAGGGCCTTTGTTGATACCGCCATGATGAAGAAGAGGAGACAGAGAGTTTTTGACCAGCTGGGAGGATTTAGTCAGCAAGGAGCTGTTTGCACCATCCTGGGTAAGAAGTCTGGATTTTCAGGACCCACTGAGCTTAGGCTATTAGTTTGAAAGCTAAACCCTGTGGGAGATCAACTCGCTGAGATACAAGTTTCTTTCAGCACTTCAGCCTGACATATGTGAGATATGGATGGATTGGTTATAGCTTGGTTTGTTTTCTGAGCTACAAAATGTAGCGTATTATTTCAGACCAGTTATATGTAAAATTAAGAAAACAGTTAACCTTTTTTTTCTTTGTTATTTCTGTTTGTATTCGTTATAAATTGCTATGTAAGCCTTCTCTGTATGTGTGTAGTATTCGACTGGTACTTTCTTCCTTTTGCAGAGGCCTTTCAGAGGGCCAGGAAAAAGATGCAAGAAGCCCGAAAAAGTCTTCCACAAGACCTGATCAGCAGCGCTTCCCAGCTACAAATCGAATCCTCTGCTTAAGTCTGAAAAATGGAGTAGGGCTGTTACTGTTATTTTTTGAAGTTTAGTTTATAGATTATCACTGGCTGTGATATAAGTGTGTTTTTCTCACAAAGAGGAAAACCATGTCTGAATGTTTTAATCTTTGTATTTATGGCTAACATAGTGGATGGTGTACTAATAAAGTTACAATATGAGTGAAGCTGGTAGTTAATAGAGAGCAGAGCCATTATACCTGCTGTGTATGGTTGTACCTGGTAATGCATTTTTTTTTTATTTTTTAGTCACTGTTTATATTTGATTTCAATAAAGGGTCCGATTGTTGGCGTTAACTGAGGCTTTTAAAAACTTGTGAATATAAAGTAATGTTTTGAAAGTTTGGTTTCATATTTTCTGTTGGTTACTTCAAATCTCAATGTAGTTGTCATATTTGTTGTAATATAAACATTTTATATCAACTATTACAATTATCTTTAAATACTTAAAACACCTAAATCTTTTTTCTTCGTGCACTATATTTTATATTTGGTATATGATATTTAGGGGCATTCATACAGTAGTTTAAAGCTGTTCACACAGTCTAGATTGTATGCAAAAGTATGTTTGTTTGTTTTTTCCACTGAAGCACAGGTTTTGCTTAATGCAGTTCAGCATCTTAATAGATGACTTAAATTCAATAGGATTTCACGCTTTCATTACTCAACCTTAGTTATCTGTAAGATTTAGATCAGGGGTTGGAAACAAGCAGGACAGCAGCCCTCGAGGCCTGGAGTTCGACACCTGCGCTTGAGATAGTGGAATTGTAAAATCTCCTTCGAGCCGGAGTTGAACCAGCGACCTAAGGATTCCTATTCCCATACACCTACAGTCCTCCGCTCTACCAACTGAGCTATCGAAGGGATCACATGTGCAGTGTCTGGTTTGTTGGACCATCGGATACATGGGACCTAACAGAGTCTGTGTTTTGCAAGAATTCCATGTTGCAAGGACTTGAACATAACAAAACTGTATCTGTCTGATTCTACATGTTCCTTCATGCCTGAGGCACTGAACATATTTCACATCAACATGAGTATCCTTCCTTTTTCCAACTCTTGGGCTGCGTTCAGACCCAGGGGAGTACTTTGCAGCCCCTGATTTGAAACTGCTTTGAAAAAGCCAGGACTGTACAGTGAAGGTGAAACGCTGATGTTATGGAATCTTTTCCTGGCTGCGAGGACACGGCGAAATCCCTACCAAGAGTTCCCTCCAGTGTTGCATTCATGATCATAGGAAACCGTGGTGTCATATAGAGTCATTTATTGTGTAATGTAAATTTCCCCTTTAAATACAAAAGTTTGCACTGATTTATATTTGCCTGTGAATCCAATTACAAAAAATATATAAACCCTACCGACCGATTTGTACACATGACCTCGAAACCGTGTGGTGTCATTGCCGTTGGTGGTTTCCTGGATTTGCATATACATTTTATATAATACATCATTTATATTCGCAGATCTTAACTATACAAACATCTACTAACAGCCGTTATAAAATCAACCAAATGTGTTCGCTGTAACATCGCATCCTGGTATTCTTTACCTGAGGAGGGAAGTTGTCCAGTTTCCGATGAGTGTGAACGCACCATCGTTATCCTGGTTCTCCATCTTCCTCCAAACAGACGAAGGAGCACCCTGCGTCTGACACCCAGTGGAATATTTTTTCTCTTCTCACGTATACTCAGCAAGGTATGGGCGATATTATACAATACAGGACCTTCTTTTAACCTTGCTGTCATTGTGGTGTGATTTTGTATCGACTGTATTTTTGCAGGGCTGCTCATCGTTTAGCTACCGTAAAGGCAGCTCCTGGAAACTGGGCCGCTGCTCACGTTTCTATTTTGACTCCAGATTTAACATAACGAAATCTTGTCATATCGGACTGTAAACCCAGGTTGATGTTAGAAGTTGTCTGTGTTTGGAGTTTGTTGTTAATATTTCTGGTATCGCAGGAGGGAGCGGATGTATTTAGCATTTAGCTAACGCTAGCTAAGTGGAAGTGCTGTGCCTCCCGGTTAATTAAAGCTAACCTGATGTTTGTTGAGAGGTCAAACGTCGTCACACCCAGAAACACAGAGCAGTTAATGTCACCGTTAGATTAGAGTAGGTTCTTCTTCACCATACAGATGAAGAAAATGGCTAATGCCGGCTAAAGTAAAGGTTTAATTGTTTAAGATGTAACGCTAAGTACGTTTTCTTCAATGTAATAGCATGTTTTAGCTAGGGCTGTACAGATACATAAATGTGTGGTCATAGGTTTACACACAGTCATTATGGACATCGATATCATATGTTTGTGCTTTTAATGATTGCTCCGAACTTCGAATTCTTTTCCAGGTTTGCATGATTGTAGAGCTTACATCATTAATAACTCTGCAAAAGTTTGAAATTATGTTGGATTTTCTCTCATCCACACAGATTCAAATATATACATAAACCCCCATTAATATTTGGTTAAGTGTCCCTTAGTAAGTTGTATCTTCCCCAGATGCTTTTGCTAGCGATCAACAGCCATAATTCTTGACCACTCTTCTCGTCAGAATTGGTAAATAAATCTACCACCGCCGTGCTTTACAGCTGCCACTCTGTTCTTAGATTTGATAGCCCTGCCATTATTCCTCCAAACATATCTGTTGTCACTGTGGTCAAATAGCTCAATCGTTGTCTCATCTGACCATAAAACCTTTCTACAGAAGGCATTTTGCTTGACTATGTTTCAAATTGCAGTTGAGCTTGAAGCAAGGGAGCAGGTGAAAGAGAGCCTGGAGAGGCAGAGATATGCTCTAGTGGCACTGACAAAAAAGATGGAAGGCCGAGCTGGAGCTGTCAAAGCACAATATGCTCAGACCACACTGGACAGGATTAGAAATGAGTACAGAGGGACAGCACAGGTTGAGTAGTTTGGAGACAAAGTTACAGAGGCAAGGCTGAGATGGTTTGGACATGTGCAGAGGAGGGATAGTGGAAATACCAGACAAACAATGTTGAATAGGAAACTGCCAGACAGGAGGAAAAGAGGAAGACTGCAAAGAAAATAAAAAAATAAAATTCATGCATTTAACGAAGGAGGGCATGCAGAGGTTTGGTGTGACAGAGGAGGATGCAAGGGATAGGATGGCAGATGATCCTTTGTGGTGACCCCTAAAGGAATCATCTGAAAGAAGAAGAAAGGGGAATGAATAATAACAAAAACAAATTAAACATAATAAAATTGCATTCTGTACTTCCCTAGTGTGGTGCATTATGATAAAATTAAGTTGCCTATTTCAGAGTTTACTAGAACTTCATATACTCTGTAAAACAGTTGGGAGTGTATAATTCAGACATAAATGATTCCCCTAACCTGTGCCAAACCCAGGATCCTCCATTACAATTCCTGAAAATAAAGCCATATTAATAAATCCAGACTATGCGATTACAGTGCTCTGTAGTCCACTGGTTGTGTTTAACACCACTCCAGCTAATATTTGGTATTTTGCTTGGGGCTCATAGGCTTTCATTTCCACATCACCATGCAAACCAGTGTCATGAAGCCACTCTATTAGCATTTGCTATACTGCTGTATGGATTTTGCTCAGTTATTTATTGAAAGAGGTGTTCTCAATACTTGTAGTATAACCTTGTATATTTGTAAGGCAGTTATTCATACATTCATTTAGAAACTAAACACATCAGGTTGGTCTGTCATAGAAGAAACCTGTAACATTTTTAGATTGGTTGCTGGCTGTTGCAGTGTACTATGTTGGAGGCAAACCTGATGACTGAATTTCATTGAACTACTTTGTGGCTTGTCACCATGCCACTTAGTCATATGGCAGCCTCACTGAATGATTATGTAATATTTTTTTAAATGTATATATCTATTTATTTTTTACAGAACTAAGGACCACAGTCATGACGGACTCCAAATATTTCACAACAAACAAAAAAGGTGAGTATGATAGAGAAATTGTTTTTGTTCATGTAGGCATGTTAGAGATTGGAAATCTATGGCAGTGTATATATAAACAGTACTGCTGTCAACTCTTCATCTGATTCATCTTTCAGGGGAGATCTTTGAACTGAAGGCAGAGCTGAACAATGAGAAGAAGGAGAAGAGGAAAGAGGCAGTGAAGAAGGTCATTGCTGCCATGACTGTTGGCAAAGATGTCAGGTACACTGCATTTATGACATGCGCCACACAGGTCTATAATTATAACAGTGTGATAAGATAAGCAAATCAAAGTGACGTGGCGTCTGTGATTTCTCAGTTGCATTATGTGTTGGCACCGAATATCTTAAACAAGAAGAAAATTGTGTTGTGCTTACTGACCAACAGACAATTGGATTAAAGTCCTTCACTCTCCTAAGTAATTCAGCTGCTGATATTTAACTCTGAGTTTTGCTTTTGGAAAGCTGATTAGTCTCATCCTCAGTAGACTGATGTGTGGTCATTGTTTCCGGCTCTGCTTTTGTTTCCGCTGCTCTCTGCCAACTCCCAGGATATGTTCCTGGAACTGTCAGTGCTGCTAAGAGAGTAATAGTAAATAAAAGTCTCAGTATTGTTCAGGGGGCTCACTGCTTTGCTATTGATTGCCATCGGTCAAGGAAATCAGTCATTGCAAATTAAGAGAACACAGTAGCAGAGATTAAAAAATAGGAGAGAGCAGTTTCTAAGGTACTTGGAGCTCTGGCCTTTTTCACTCTTTTTATATATCTGACTAGTAGCCTCAGAAATCAGGAGGTAAAAGTGTGAATGAAAGGATGTTTTTATTACTTTCAGGCTATTCAGACATCGTTATTGATGATCACTTTGCACACAGTGTTTTTTCACAGTGTGCTAAAGCTTTACAGACATTAATTAGTCATACTACAGTTGTATGATATGTCCGTTAAGCCGATTTGTACTGATGTGAGTTCAGGACAGTTAATCATGCAGTAAATTCACAGCTAGTGTGAGAGAACATGACAGTGTCGCAACATTGTCTAGTACTCCTTTTTGAAGTCAATTTGCTTTGCTCTCAGTTCTTTGTTCCCAGATGTAGTCAACTGCATGCAGACTGACAACCTGGAGCTGAAGAAGTTGGTGTACCTCTACTTGATGAACTACGCCAAGAGCCAGCCTGATATGGCTATAATGGCCGTTAACAGCTTCGTCAAGGCAAGACAGAGAATGAACTGTTGATTAACGGCATCCTACACTAATCTGCACTAAGGCAGTTAAATCTAAAAATACTTTTTTATTGTTTTCCTGCTACCATAGTTTGTCCATGCTGTTGCACAGGATCGATCAATGGGTTTCTTACATGCCAATAGGGATTAAGATTTTTGTACAGTTTTCAGATGTGTCTTGCACACAAGCTCATGATTTGCTCCAAATTACAAAGTGAGTTAGTTTTTTAACTTTGACGCCCATTGTACCTATGTAAAATCTTTCTTCGCCTATTCCTTAGGACTGTGAGGACCCCAATCCTCTGATCAGGGCTCTTGCCGTCCGCACCATGGGTTGCATTCGGGTGGACAAGATCACAGAGTACTTGTGTGAGCCACTGAGAAAGTGCTTGAAGGATGAGGACCCATATGTGAGGAAGACTGCAGCTGTTTGTGTAGCTAAACTTCATGACATCAATGCCCAGATGGTGGAGGACCAGGGCTTCCTGGACTCCCTGAGAGATCTTATTGCTGACTCCAATCCCATGGTAGGTCTCAGTACTTTACACCTCTGTCTGTATCTTTCCCAAAGTTGTGTTAGTGCTTTAAAAATGCTGTTAGTTTCCTTTGGATTACTATTAAAGAATAATTAAGTTAATATAGAGTTAATTATTGTTGAAATCATTATTGTTTCATATCTTGCGTTTTAGGTTGTGGCCAATGCAGTTGCTGCATTATCAGAGATCAGTGAGTCTCACCCCAACAGCAACCTGCTGGACCTCAATCCACAGAATATCAACAAGCTGCTGACGGCCCTCAACGAGTGCACAGAGTGGGGACAGACCTTCATCCTGGACTGCCTGTCCAACTACAACCCCAAGGATGAGCGTGAGGCTCAAAGGTAGCAGTCCTGTCAACTTTTACTTAAAACTAGACCATTTGTGATATTAATCAGAGTTACAAAAATCCTTTTAAGACCAGAGATAAGCCCAGCATTATCACTACATGACACCACTGAAAATGATGGGATTTCTGCTTCTTCTCCTCAAAGCATCTGTGAGCGTGTCACCCCCCGGCTGTCTCATGCCAACTCAGCGGTGGTGCTGTCAGCTGTGAAGGTACTGATGAAGTTCTTGGAGCTGCTGCCCAAGGATTCTGACTACTACAACACATTGCTGAAGAAGTTATCTCCCCCACTGGTCACCTTGCTCTCCGGGGAGCCAGAGGTCCAGTATGTGGCTCTGAGGAACATCAACCTCATCGTCCAGAAGAGGTATATTGTCAGAAAGGACAGAGAAAGGTTTCAAGTTGAGCTGCTGGGTTTAATATTAACTCTAAAAACATTTTTAATATATAGATTTTGAAATTTGGTTATTTCCTTATTGTAATTTCTTCATATTTTACTGTGTTTGTTTGTTTACACACTCTTATGACAAGCAATTGGAAGCTGGGAAAGACAGATTTCTATTTTTTGTTCTCACCACCTTTTTAATGTATATTTTTTGTGTGTACACACTGAACTGAACCTTAGCACACACACAGGATAAACCTTCTTGTCTAGCAGCTTAAGGGCTATAGCAGGCAATATTACTCTATGACTGACACTTACATGCTTAGTTGCCTGCTACTTGAAAAGCATTAAATCCCATCTTGGGATTTTTTCTTTTGGACTAGGTGCCACACTATAATGTGTCATGTATTGATTTTGTGCAGGCCTGAGATCCTGAAGCAGGAGATCAAGGTGTTCTTTGTCAAATACAATGACCCCATCTATGTGAAACTGGAGAAACTGGACATCATGATCCGTTTGGCTTCTCAGGCCAACATTGCCCAGGTACTTCACAGAAAACAAGACTAAAAGTATATTGTAGCAATTAATTGTTCGAAAATCTTTAACATTATTTATAGAAAGTAGTTTTAAAATGATTCACTTCTGTTCTGTGATTTGCAGGTTTTGGCTGAATTGAAGGAGTATGCCACAGAGGTAGATGTGGACTTTGTGCGTAAAGCTGTACGAGCCATCGGACGCTGTGCCATCAAAGTTGAGGTGAGAATTATGGGCCCACTGAGCTAAAATAATGATGTGTCATTAGTAATTTAAAACTCTTTTCTGGTAGTAAAGGTGACAGATGTTTCTGTCCTGTTTCCCTTCAGCAATCGGCAGAGCGCTGTGTCAGCACTCTGCTGGACCTGATCCAGACTAAGGTCAACTATGTGGTTCAGGAGGCTATTGTGGTCATCAGGGACATCTTCCGCAAGTACCCCAACAAGTAGGTTTCTCATTGAATGCGTGAAAAGTGTTTATCAAGTAACTATCTAGTGCTCTATATAAACCTTTTTTAAAAATTGATGGACTGTGTAGCTCACATGTGTACATGTCATTTCATGTGATGTGTAGTGTGTAGTCCGATTCTTACTTTAGAGATATGGTGTTCTTTAGGTATGAAAGCATCATTGCCACACTCTGTGAGAACCTCGATTCCTTGGATGAGCCTGACGCTCGAGCTGCCATGATCTGGATTGTTGGCGAGTATGCTGAGCGGATTGACAACGCTGATGAGTTGCTGGAGAGCTTCCTTGAGGGCTTCCATGATGAGAGCACTCAGGTAAGTTTATTTAAAAAAAAAAAATACTCATGTAAAATAAAATACCCAGATTACGATACAATATACGAGAGCAGCATTACATATTTCAGAAAGGCTAGTCTTGCTTACAAAAAAACATTGAGTTGAATTTTAACAGTTTATCTAGAATAATAAAATGTTTTCATGTATTTTATCATTTTGACTTTTTTAACAATGTCAACAATGTTCCTATGATTTGTAATTATATTGTGTATTGTTATGAATTAAATAAGAAAGGTTTCAATAATCTTATGTTTCTGTAAATATCATTAAGTGTTGTAGTCGGGGATCGACTGTTTCAAATATTTTTTGACCTACCACAGCTATGATGAAGGGTTAGACTTTTAAAGGCATTGCATATAAAACACAGCCATATTCCAATGGTGTGTGTGTGCTCGGACTTGCAGGTCCAGCTTACTCTGTTGACCGCCATTGTCAAGCTGTTCCTTAAGAAGCCATCAGAGACTCAGGAGCTGGTGCAGCAAGTCCTCAGCTTGGCCACTCAAGTGAGTCGTATATTTTATTCTGAAGAGCCTTTGCATGATTTTGATGACTTGTTCGGTTTCCCTCTCTCTGAGAAGTGTTTCTTTCTCTAACATATATGAAAGTATTATTCTCAGATATGTAGCTTTCTTAGCTGCCACTTTTGTAACGACTTGTGAAACTGTGGTCCTCACAATCTTCTGGTATGTGATTTCTGCCTATGTTGAGTATAACTTGCACAACGTGTTGACCTCCTATGCAGGACTCTGACAACCCTGACCTGCGTGACAGAGGCTACATTTATTGGCGCCTGTTGTCCACTGACCCCGTAACTGCTAAAGAGGTGGTGTTGTCAGAGAAACCCCTAATCTCAGAGGAGACCGACCTAATAGAGCCCACCCTACTGGATGAGCTTATATGCCACATTGGTTCTCTGGCCTCTGTGTATCACAAGCCCCCCAGCGCCTTTGTGGAGGGAAGCCATGGAATCCACCGGAAGCACCTTCCTGTTCAGCACAGCAGGTCAGACACTGTTTTCAGTGCCATACCAGTTCTACACAATGTCACGTCAGCTGCTTTTACCAGCTGTTGTTCTGGGTGCCGGACGCTGTCATGCAAAACTTTTATTGCTTTCACTACTAGTCCATTGTACTAATACATAGAGCTCATACTTTAATATATGGCTTTTTGGACCTGATGGCCTGAAAGATCAGTGTAATAAAACGGTTGAATTTTTGAAGTTCTTGAAAGGAGCTTAACTTTAATAATCACACTGGCGTAAACTGATTATATTCAGATATTTCATATTGGTCGCACTTTGCTTTGCTTCCATTTTCCATATATAAGAGGAAGTATTTATCCCTTCAGCAGTTCAGTTCTGTTGCATGGAAAATTTGCAAATTGGCCAGGAAGGTCAGTTCATGAAAATGTGTCATATGTCGAAATTGTGAGATAAAATTACACAACCTGTAATTGTTGAGGAGTAGATTTTTCTTGATCCCTGGTGTTTATAAGCAGAAACAATATAGTGGCTATCGTTGTACTTGTACCACTTCATAATTTCCAGGAATGTGCCCGTGTTGATCTGTTTGACAACAAGCAGCTGAGTCTAAAGTCTAAACTGTTAAAATTAGTGCTACTTTAAAAAAAAAAGTAATTGGTGTGAGTGGTTTGATGTTTTTAAGATAAAGACAGAGTTTCTTATTCATCCAGCAGTTTAAAATGCAGTCTTCTGGTCTCAAAGCATTTGGTTTGGTTTCAAGAAAATGTTCGATAATACTTATTAATGTGATATTGTATGTTGTATATGTGAGCTGAGAACTCTTCAATTTTTTAATCATAGCTCAGTTTATGCTTTAAACTAGTTTTGAAAACAGGACATTGCCCAACTCTTAAGATATTGCCTCATGCCCCACTGATGTTGAAGAGTCAGGCAAAATCTTGTGTGAAAGAAGAATCTACAACAGGAAGCTGTGGACTTGAGGACTTTTAGATGAATTTCCGTTGAAGTGGATGTACTGTATTTATCCCAGTTTAATAAGGAAATGTATTTACATAATGGAAACAAGTTTTATGATATAAAAAATTTGACATTTCTGTTCCAACACAGTGCTGTAGCACAAGGCCCTCTCTAGCAGTGTGCTTGTTTGCTGCTAGTTTAGCTCACAAGGTGAGATGGAAATCTCATGCAGCAGCCTGGACCCAATGGCCCTTTACTGCTCATCTTTGCCCACCTGCCTTCTTGTCTACTCTCCAGTAAATCTACTAAATGCAATAAAAACCTCCCCCAAATATAATGTTTAACTTCCTAGGACCTGGCGTCCACATATGTGGACATCACATTTTGGGTTATTTCGACCAAAATACTTAATTTTGCTCTACAAGGGCCTGACATCCACCTACGAGGACAATATACTGCCACTGTTCTATCAAAATTTTAAACAAATATCCTCATATGTGGCTCTCATTTTTCTAAAAAACAAAAATCAGGTAAAAAAACAAAACAAGAACTGGTAATTCTTTGTTTTTACATTCATTGGGTCCCAATATGCCCAAATATCAAAGTTAAATTAAAAATGTATGCCATAGAAGAGCTCAGGTCTTAGGAGGTTAAAGAAAGTTGTTGCCGTGCTTCATAACTAAAGATTCTACTACTTTGCATTCTTTCATAATTTTCCAGTGATCTGTGATACTTTTGGAGCTCTTAGGATTTGAGTTTCCAAGTACATTTCATTTACCAGTCTACTGTTTTGCCTTACGACAGCATCGACACAGGTGAGAGCCCAGTGAGCGGTGGGCCAGCAGCAGCCATGGACCAGCCACATGTCATTCCCAGTCAGGGTGACCTGTTGGGTGATCTGCTGAACCTGGACCTGGGTCCTCCAGTCAATGTGCCCCAGGTCTCCTCCATGCAGATGGGTGCGGTGGACCTTCTGGGAGGAGGCCTTGACAGTTTGGTGAGCATGAGCATATTTATGCACACTTACTTTACTAAATTTAGGTAAAGATCCACTGAGCGATTGCACTTAATTGTCATTGCAGCAATGGGTCTTACGTGTTTGGCACATTGTATGGAATAATAATAGACGTTTATACTGTATTCAAGCTTTGACTCCCATTAGATCCTTCTATAGTTTACCAGTGCTGGTTACGTGATGCTACCTAGTGGTTCTCACCATTCATTTTAATGACTCTTTCATCACATTAAGGAGGAAAGAGGCTGTGCAGGCAGTTGTAAAACATCTGGAAAGCTGAAATTTTCCCAAAAGAAATGGGTATATGATGAAAAGTTAGTTTTTCTTTGTTCCTCCTTAGGATTGTTATAGTTGAAGAAGACCTGTTCAGATCTTGTACCTGCTGACACCATTTTCTTTTCTACTGGGTTTTATGTGTTCATGCAAGTGCGCTTGTGATAAAAAGTAACTGTTATGCTCATATGCTGTATCTTGCTGTAACACAAATTTAAAATGTTTTAATACCGTAACATTGGCTCATAAACATGTTACTAGGTATTTGTCTTCTATTACCACTTCTCCGAGCTGCCGGAATATCTGGATTTCTTCATAATCTCCTTGCAGAGTGATTTTTTTTTTTTTAATGTCTAACCTACAATGCAGAGATTAATATTTCCCAGAAAGTGAGGGCTCCTCTTGATGGGTTATGGTTGCTAAGAAAGTCTCTGTCTCTGTCTTTGTGTCTTTGGTCTGTCGATAATGTTTGGATGCTGTCTTTGGTGGCCTCTCCTCTCTCCTGTAGCTGGGGGGAGACCTGGGCGGAGGTGTTGGGGGAAGTCCAGCAGTAAGTCAAGCCCTTCTGTTTGGCCGTCTGCATGCTGCATGCTTCCTGAATTTAACCCACCACACTCGTCTTACTCACGCATTTTTCAACAAGATGACCACACGGATGTTTTGAATGTTTTAGCCCATTTAAGTCTTTGATGGGACACACAAAGGCATACAGGGGCAAACTGAAAGCCTTCTCCTTCTGTCAGACATCAGGATGAATACATCACTTAGTTCTCTTTCTCACTTCCTGTTAAGACCTTCCTTAAATATTCATAGTGTGGGAATGCAGTAGACATTATATTTATGGTCATTTTTGGGGGTGGGGGGGTGGTGGTGACATGGCCACTGACACCATTTATAGGCTTTAAAGAAAGGAAGAGGTCATTGTGTAGTAATGAGGACACAACAGATTTTACTGTGTTGTAGAGCCATTCATAGACTAGAAACCTCTTTTCTAAATCCTTTGTAATTTTTTGGGCAACCAATAATTACAACCACCTTATGAAAATAGTAGATTTTCATATTTTCCATCAATATCACTTTCAATATATCAATATATCATAATTTTTTCCATCAATTTGAACATATAAAAATATACACGGAACTGATATATTTGTTTATGCCCTCTTTTCCATACTCTTGTATGATTTTATACATAGTAAGAGGCTTAGTTAATATGATGTTAATTTGGACTTCTAATGTATTTTTTCAAATAATATTTTTTATAACAAATGGGCTCAAACAGGCAAAACAAAATTTTTACTCTTTTAAATTAATCTCACATTTGATTTTTTTGATTTGGCTAATCGTGATTTTGATGTGATTGAAATCTTGTTTTTGTTTTTTTTCTTCATAATCACAAAGACCAAATCAGTTGCTTCTTCCGTTGTTCTGGTCTAAGATTTTATTTTCTGTGTGACCCGTTTAGTAGATTTTAGTAAATTTCTCAAGTCTTCTGCGATACTTCATAAAATTATACTTTATTAGATTGTGTTTTGTGTGTGTTTTTGTTGTGATTTTTGTTGCAGGTGGGACAAAATTTTATCCCGTCATCAGTCCCCAACACTTTTGCCCCTTCACCTACACCTGCACCTCCTGCCACCAGCAGTGGCCTCAACGACTTATTTGAGCTTTCCACAGGCATGGCCATCACCACAGGAGGCTATGCAGTCCCCAAAGCAGTGAGTTCACGCAACTTTTTCTTGGAAGGTGTAACGTAAGTAAAACACTGTCTGTGTTATTGACTGCAGTTGTACTTTTTACCAGGTATGGCTTCCTGCAGTGAAAGCTAAAGGGCTCGAGATCTCTGGAACATTCTCTCGCCGTCAGGGTCACATGTACATGGACATGACTTTCACCAACAAAGCCCTACAACACATGACCGACTTTGCTATCCAGTTTAACAAGAACAGGTCAGTGATCTGACTCAACAGGAATGTCATGTCATTGCTTATTGCACTCTTTAAGAAACGTTTTAAAACTAACTTTAATATTAATATATGTTTCTGCAGTTTTGGGGTGATCCCCACCAGTCCTCTGCCCGTTCATACTCCACTGATGCCCAATCAGAGTATTGAGATCTCTTTGCCTCTTAACACCATTGGGCCAGTTATGAAGATGGACCCTCTCAATAATCTTCAGGTACAGCAGCACACAGTGGCCACACATTTTATCAGCAGTGGAACACATTTAAAGACCTGGCCAGGGACAGGTGTCTTGCTCTTTCTGTCTCTCTGAAATGTGTGTTTTGTTTTGTTTGTTTGTTTTTTATTATTATTTAGTGTGACATGGCCATTAGTTCAGAAATAATTTCTCAGCGTCTTGCAAAAAATGAAAATTCCAGGGTGTTTGCACTCAGTACAAGAATTGGAAACTGAGAAAAACAGCTAGCCCTCATAAAATATATTTTAGAAACTGATGTTTAGTTTACAGTTTTAACCTGATTGAATGCAAATGTTGGTATATTGCTTGTTATACTCAAGATGTCAAACTTACCATGTTCTCTGGTCTTTCCTATAGGTGGCTGTAAAGAACAGCATTGATGTGTTCTACTTCAGCGTACTCATCCCTCTCAATGTATTCTTTGTTGAGGATGGAAAAATGGGTAAAATTCTTAAAACCTTTTAAAACAGCAACAACAGTGTGGTACTATTCCTTAAATGGCTAATTATATTCCTCACAGCTATTGAAGCTTGACAAACATTGCTGTTACTTGGGAAATGTATATTCAGTCTGCTTTTGGGCTGTAAAAGTATGTTATAGGCAACTGAAACCTACCTTATTGTGAAGTGTAATTTCTATGGAATGAAAAGAATTCCTTCATCCCTAATAATAGATCTGAATAGAATCAAACAAAACAGTAAATCATTTAAAGGGCTTTGAATTATCAATGTCAGTGGTTTGAAACATCCAACACTTTCTACATCACTGCTGTCGGATATTTTGTTTTTTTCTTCTTCAGAGCGACAGGTGTTCCTGGCTACTTGGAAAGACATCCCCAATGAGAATGAGCTACAGTATCAGATAAAGGACTGCCACCTTAATGCAGGTAGACAAATTTGTCAAAAATCTCATGAGCATGTTAAATTATTTTTACCTGCTTGTTTATTGTTTTCTTTCTCGTCCACATAACTTGGCTCTATACTTCTTTATTTGGTAGTTTCTCTAACATATCAAAATATTAGACAATGCTTTTACTCGTGCAAAATATGGCAAATGGCACAATGATGCATTTTTGAAGTAGTTGTTCTTTGTTTCAATGATTGAATACAATTTAAGCTAACCATATCATCAGCGTGGTTGCATTAAATATATAGATGACTGATTAACACATTCTCAGCTCAGTGTTTAAAAACCTCTGTTATTTTTAAGACATCAAAAACACTCCAACTTATCCAAAAAGCCTTATTTCTCTCTGTTTTCTTTCTCCACCCGCATGCTTATCTTTGGATACTCTTTCTTTTTAACCAATGCTGAACATCTCCTTTCCTTTAAAAAAGTTCACAATATTTTTGCCACTATAATCCTAGCATTCTGATAGCTAAAAGTTGACCAAAGCAGTACTACTTTCAGAATATCTGTCCAGCTTTACTGACATCTAAAGGTTGAAGTTGATTAAAATCCTCACAAACCTAGTTTACCCTTTGCCAGTAGTGGACTTTGTATTAGCCCATGCATACATTAGTGTGAGTTCCTTAAAGTGATTATGGTTCCAGTAGTGATAGCACCCTCTTGTGTGTGTGTTTTGATGTGGCTTCTGAAATGTGAGTGAGGTGTAATCATAATCTGAGAAACCTTACGGTCTTGCAGACACAGTTTCAGGGAAGCTGCAGAATAACAATATCTACACCATTGCCAAGAGAAATGTAGAAGGCCAAGACATGCTCTACCAGTCCCTGAAGCTAACCAATGGCATCTGGATCCTGGCTGAGCTCCGCATTCAACCTGGCAACCCCAACTACACGGTATAGCATCACAAGATTTACATTTTGACGCGCTGTTCTGGGTTTTAAAAAGTAATGAGGAAAGTTTCACCTTCGCTTACAAAGATTTTCTTGTTTTAGCTGACCACCAGAACCGAAAAGTTCAAAGTAACTATAAATACAGTGAAAATCAGTAAGTCATGGTATAGAATATAGTGAATCCAGAAAATAACCAGTATTTATTTATTTTTTTAACTTATACTACTCGAAAAGCAGCTAATGATTTTCAAATAATTACCGGTTATTTGTGTTAATGAGCTGATCATTTCAGTTGTGGACAAAAAGTGAGAATGCTGTAATAAAATGGTAAGGGAATACAATTACACAGCACTACCCTTCAGTAGGGGAAGCACGCTACAATATTCGTACAAGATCCTGACCCACATCCTGACCTTCCTTGTACACAGCACAAATCCTCAAAGTAAAATGGGAAAAGCACTGTCAGTAACATCCCTCGTTCCAGTTTTACTCCTTTATTCCTCAGTTGGTCAGTATAAGCAGTGTAAACAGAGCTGTGATTGAGCATCTTTATAAATGTGTGAGTGAGTGCATCTCCCTTTATAACTCTGCTCTCCTTTTGTCCACAGCTCTCTCTGAAGTGTCGGGCTCCAGAAGTGTCTCAGTACGTCTACCAGATGTACGATTCTGTGCTGAAGAATTGACGCACTTCACCACTTGCCGACTCTGCTTCATCCTGACAACAAACCGCAGTGTTTTTTTGTTTTGATTTGTTTTTTTTATTTTTCTGTATGTGCAGCTGACTGCCAAAACAAGAGAATCCAAACAGTAAAAGATGGATAGTAAGCAATTTTGGAGATTGTGTTTTTCCTCAAAGTGATCAACAGGGTAAATGTGAGATGAGACAAAGGGTATTGGGAGTGATTATCAAGCGTACTGTTGACATTTCCTTTATTTTGGCAGTTGAAAGCATCATTAAAATCCTCTTAATTCTACCCCCTATTTTTACGTCTCAGTGAAAACCATTCCATCCTTAACATTACGTCTTATTGTTGTGAAGATGTGATTAATGATGAAATTGTCCTGAGTGGGGACTTGCTTTGTTCAGCTCACACTTCTTTTAATTTAGATCCACTTTTGACGCTTTCTTTGCTTCAGTTGTACCTCCAGAGTCACAGCAGTATTCTGTTGTTTTGAGACCAGAAATGTCTGTCTGACTGCTTCTGCCACATCTGGTGGGATCACTTACAATTTGTGCAATTTGTTTAGAAACAAATGTCAACTTTTCTCCCCTTACTGTGAAGCATTGTACACTAATTGAGAAACTTAGTGATAAGTTAGCAACCCTGTAATTGCAAAATCTAGGCATTTCATTGTTTCCTTATGCCATTTATGGTCTTTCTGGCAGAGGCGTTTACAACCATCCGGTCTTCACAAAGCTCTAAATCCTTTTAATGACACTCCACCTTATCCTTTTCTTGTTAAAGTGTTCGTAAGCAGTTCGCTGTGCTGGTTCTGATATTAAACAACTTCAGTATAACATTTTATGAAGTGCTCTTCAAAAATTAAATAAATCCATAAGCAAAGGAAAAGTTACACTGTTTAGTCTTCTGATGAGCAGGTGGCATAAAGGACATTGATGGGTTTAAATTCTTAAAGTTTTACAACCACTACAAAAGCAAGAGCAGCCAATTTTGTGTTCACACTCCAGTGCCACTCTGTTTCCGGTTATTTGCTTGACACGATTTTTATTTTTTCTTCTTCTCCTCCTCCTCTTTTCTGAAACGGTCCCATTTACTGCAGCCACACTTTTCACAACTATATTTTCATTCCTATTTATTGTGCATCTACCTCTGTGTGTTTTCTTTTCACAGGTGTTATTGTTGCATTAGTTTCATTTCCTTGATGTGCTTTACATGTCATTTGAATGCCAGTGTTTTTATTTTTTATTTTCTTGGGGGGATTTTCATGTAATGCTAAACTGTGGGAAATCCGCCAAGTCAGGTTCACAGGACCACACATTTACAAAAATGAATTGCCAAGTTTATTTTTATTACTCTCAAAAGAATCCTTATAAAGTTGGCATAGTGTGAGCTATATGAACATTAGAGTACATATACCCAAACCCCCAGAGTTGTACTGTAGGCCAGTAATGGTGTAGTAAGAAAATGTTTAGTAACTATGTATAAAAATGAAGCAAAAATGCTTTCTCCCTATCCCAGTGTGTCAGTTGTGTTGGTGACGTACATGAGATGAGAACATTAATGTGCCTGCATGAACTCGCTGTCATTTTACCCTTTCTTAATTTCAGCTGTGGATTTCCTCAAGTCTGAAATTCTGCTCCTAACCTACGTTTCATTGTAGATCCCATTAGTTTTTTATTTGTTTGTTTTTTTTCTAAACACAGCATCGTCTTAAACACACTCCTGCAAATAGAAATGTTTCCAGCAGCACAGAATGTGTGCCGAGGTCGGTCACGGCATCTTATGAAATGGAAAAGTTTGTGTCATTGCTGTAAGCTTGTTGTAAATGATTTGTTACTGTCACAGTACCACATCTTGTGTCAATAAATCGTCAAATCCTTGGTGGTGGTGCATGGTTGTTTTTTTGTTTTTTTTATTTGTGTGTTTTGTAAGTCATGTGCAGCACAGCAGACCTGAAAAAGGGGGTGAGTGGTACAGAGGACTGCAGGTGGAAGATAAAGGGTATCCTTTCGTTACCTTTCATCTCCATGTTGAGGAAGTTGCTTTGGCTTTCTGTTTATCAGAAACATGAGAGCAAAGAGGGCTGCAGCTCTACCGTGCTGTGGATTCTTGCTAAGAGACTTAATCACACTCAAAAGTCTCCCAGAATTAAATAGTTGCCCCAAAGTACACTATTATTAACCTTTACCTACATGACCGGTTGAAGCACATAGCCCCCCTCCCTCAGCCTTCTTGTTAAAAGGATGTTTTTCCTTCCCACTGTTGCCAAACTGCTTTCTCATGTGGGGTCATATGATTGTTAGATTCTCTACCTATTGTATGATCTCCTGTAAAATATAAAACGCCTTCACGCGACTGTTGTTGGGATTTGGGGCTATTTGAATAAAATTGAATTAAATTCACCTTGGAAATATCAAAACAGCTTCCTAACAAAACTTAATTACAATGGCGTGTAATACCATTTCATAGTATAGCTGTACTCCTTTGAGTGATCAGTTGGAAAAGCAAAGACTTCTCTGTGTGTTGCAAGAAGACATGTTTCCTCCCACTTTACTCTA